TTCATAATTAAACCATTATTTTGGATAAATCCATATAAATTTGGATGAACACATGAAAAAACCTAAAACTTAAACAAACAACAAAAATTCTACATATGAGCAAACCCAGAAATTGAAGATAATCTTGAACAACTATGTATCAATCCGTATGAACACATTAATAAAACCATAAATTGAATTAGGGCAGTAAATAACAAGAAAAAACTAATCCATCTCATCACTTTCTTCTCCAGCATCAGAGAATAAGGAGAAGCAACGGAGGTTCAATGGTGGTGGATGAGAAGGAAAACAGTCATCAGAGATGCGATCAAAGATAAAGATGTAGCGATCTGAGGGATTTCTAGTGAAGTTTATCTTTCCAGCAACTGTAGCGATATGAAAGAGATCGAAAATCGATGCACATTCACTTGAATTCGTACCCTAGAATATGGTTGTTCATGTTTCCTGTAACTGTGGCAATCGATTCTTATGAGGTTTTCCGACGACAGAGCGATAAACCAGTAGATGGTTTCCAGTTGCTAGGGTTTGCAGCGGCAGATCGAAGTCGATCTGTAGTTGAGAGGAAAGGGGGCGGAGTCATCTTTCTTGTGTTAGCTTGCAAACCCTCGTTTCGGAGTTGGAACAACATCGCCGGAGAAGGAGAGAGACGGGCGGCTAAAACCCTAAACGGCGGTGGATAATCATTTGTTTAAGATTGCAAATCCTCGTTTGAGAGAGCTGGAACATCAGTTGTTTGACAAGATTAAATGAGCATCTTTTAAAATCCCAAGACCACAGAGATATTAAAGGCTGATAAATGGAGGGATGGATGAATAGTAGAAGATTGATCAAAGAAAACAAAAAAGTAAAAAAAAGGGAAATACTAAGGATAAATCCGTCAATTTAAAAAGTTTCAAAATTTTTGGACCAAACTCGTAACAAAATGAAACTTTTAGACCGTCCTTACGAGTCCAAACTTGTTTGGACCAAACTTGCTATATTTGATATACTACAGGGACCATTCTTGCAATTTTGTCATCAATAAACCTCTCTTGTTTGCTTATGGATGTAACCCGATTATGAAAACATTAATACATAATCAATAAACTTCTCTAGTTTGCTTATGGACGTAATCCGATTACCTTAATCCTGTGAATACTTAAAAAATCTGTGCTCTATATTCTTTTGCGTTTTATAATTGTGTGTTTGTTGTTCGCAACCCTAACAACCTATGGTCTCTTCTTCTATTTATATGATTTCGTCACTAAGAATAACTTAACATGATGTGAATTTAGCTCATAACCTAGAGATGATGTTCACAGACAAATGTTTCTGTACAAAAAAACATTACTCATTAAAAAAATTTACACATATACAATGACAAATGGTTATGACGATAAACTATGTATAACAAATTAAGGTATATGATACATAGGGTTAGAAAGCTTAAATGATCTACTAGCCACTGAAGTACCCATCAAATCGCTCCATTGGTCACCAGAGTTTCCGATAATTCGATATCCCTCCTCTATTATCTCTTTCCTTTTTTTCGACTTGAATTCAACTGCCGATTTTCCTTGGTCGTCGTCACCTCTGTGTATTTTCAATTATTAACAAGAATCCATTTCTATCTTAATTATCAGAACAAAAAAAAAAGTTAAATGTACTTGGAACTATTAAAACCATGAGAAAGTTTTAATAGTTACCTCAAAATGAGTTTGTCCCAATTTTGATATCCGGCATTGATTAGATTTGTAACGGTAACGTTTCTTTTGTCCTCGCTACGCCCTGTCAACAAGATAATCTTGAACCCAAGCCATGAAACCTCCTCGTATAGCTTCAAACTGGGTTCGATCACGGATGCCTCTCCTTCAACAACCCATCTGTCGAATTGGACGCAATCGAAAACTTCCAACCTAATTAATTAATCAAACTTCTCTCATCATTTATCATTTTTATCGAGTTCTTTTCATCTTGTTTCAAAATCATTGGAAAAAATAGCCACATTTGGTTCTTGATATCAAGAATTTTTTTAATCGAAATCTTGATGACCCGAATCAAGATTTCTGAATCAAAAAGTTGTAACAAAAATAATTATAAAATTATACCCGAAACCGTGGTCAGAATAATATGGAAGATTCGAGAGCAAGGTTTCATCGATGTCGAAAATCCACGCATCCATTCCATCATCACCTATTTCTAGGCTCTTGGCATAAACTCGAGCCTCTTTTGAAACCGTTTCAAGATCAAAGTTATAAGCCTGACCCGACATATATTCTTCAACATAATCTGCACATTCCATTGGAATCGTTTTCCACGGATTCAAATTGTTTGATTCCACCGCGACTCTCCAGCTCGTGCATTGCATTGTAAGCTCTTCGGTCATGTTCTTGAGTCGGGTTTCCGGGTATTCAATGATCAAAGGTCTTGGAAGGAGGTCGAGCTCTAAATCCATGCTTTCTTGACATGAGAAAGCTATGGAAACAAGACACAAGAACATGGTGTATGTAAGGAACGTCATGTTTATAAGATCAAAACGACAAAAATCAAGAGGTTTGAAATCTCTGGATTGTCGTTTTGATCTTTTTCCCGATTCCAAGAACTTGGAAGAATGGATGAATGCGGCTCCTAAATCACATCGGCTTAGTAGTCCGTGGGATTCCGGTCTGGTTAGCCGGTTGGCGAGATGTGGAATGGGGTTATCGGTGACGGATTTAATGTTAGATTTAAATAGTCTTGTATTGATGAATTTTGACCAATGCTAATTTTGGCCAACTAGCTATGCCATAATCATCGACAGTACGTAATCTCTGCATTAAGATGTTGTACTCTCTGCTTCATAATTAAGTTCTTGAAATTGTTGGTTGGATCATCCTTCTGCGTCCTCCCAATGGTCTTTTTTAGCCAACTATAGAAAAATATATAATGTATATATGTTTTCTTATTCATTTCGGCAAAATGTGCAAGCTCTCAGTGCTTGCATGATTTTCATTTTTTTATTTGTTATGCTATTTCATTCATATTCATTTTATAGGTCTAATCCTCTTCCTCATCTGTTTTTCATCGAAAACTCAAATTCCACAATCACCCGATTCATGGAGATCATATGTGTTAGTGGCCGTTTATATGTTGTATTTAGATAGTCCAATTGGATTTAGGCCTTTATGTATTTCAACCCATTTGTAATATGTATACAATACTAGACGAAATCCCCAAAAATTAAAAAACCAGCCTGGGTGATTTAGGGTTAGTTTGTTCCATCGTTTGTTTCGCTTCCCTTTCTCGCGTTTTTCGCCTGGTGCTCTCTTCCCTAGTCCTCAAGCTCTCTCAACTCATCCATTCTTCTTCCGATGGATTTATTCACCAAACCACCAACTCCCGCCGCTACACCACCACCGGCTCCGGATAACCCTACCACCGACATGGATTCCTCGCCATGAATTGCTACCAAAATCACCACTTCTCGCTTCTCAGTCCCTATATGAAGTAATCAGTCAACCTTCATTTTCATCGATCCATAGAAGAAGAACAAAGCTCGAAAATGGCAGTAGTTCGAAGAGTCAAACTGGGTTCACAGGGTTTAGAGGTATCAGCTCAGGGTTTAGAGCCCTAAAACATGAACCTATCATGATCAAGCTCATCCACCACGCCATTAACGTCGACGTTACCTTCCTCGACACCTACGACATCTACGACCCTAAAACCAATGAAATCCTTCTATGCAAGGTAACATTCTTCTACTAATTAGATCGATCTTTGGTTACTTGTCGCTACCAATTAGTTAGTAGAGCAGGAAGGGTCTTTAAATTTTCGATCCAGTGAATTTAGGGTTTGATTACATTTTTTTTGTTTGTTTGTAATTGCAGGCTTTGAAGGGTGGAAATAAGGAGAAGGTGGAGTTGGCTACCATGGATAATATTTAGGTTAACAAACTTTAGGGGAAATGCCAAAAATCCAATTAGGTGCGCTTACTATAAGGACTCATGGAACTAAAGTGGCAAGGGCTCACATGCATGATTGGTTTGTTTTCATATTTCTTGTGATCATGGAAATCATTCTAAATGTGATAGAACCATTCCACTGGTTTGTTGGAGCCGAAATGATATAAGACCTAAAATACCCTTTACAAGACAACACTATTCCCATTTGGGTTGTTCGAGTAAGCAATCTTTGATGTGTTATGCAACACTAAATTCTCACTTTGACACTTTAAAATTTTTACACACCGAGTTGATTTTGGTTTTTCATTGAACAGATTATTGCAATAGTATTGCCACTTGTGGTCATACTCATATATTACTTTATCAGAAAGGATGTTTATGATCTTCATCAAGAAGTGCTAGGTAAATATTATATGTAAGATTAAGATATATTTGATTTGTAAAAATGGAGAAATTAAATGAGAAATGACTTAATTTTTTTTTGTCATATGTTGTTAGGCCCTCTGTTCTCAGTACTTGTTACAAGAGTTTTGACTGATGCAATCAAATATGCAGTTGAGAGACCTCGTCCTGACTTTTCTGGTGTTGCTTTCCTAATGACGTTGATGAGGGGATATTGCGGAGATCCGACTTACGGAAGAGTTGCATGTTCATAGAAATCACAACTAATTTTTTCTTCCTTATTCGATCCTTTATTTAAACCTTCTGTTCATCACTCTACTTCATATACATCTCCTCAAATGGTCTAATTTTTTTGTTAGATAGAGCACTGGTGCTTTGGAAGGCTGTAACTAGTTAGAAAAGAGAAGGTTTGATTTTCATTGTAAAATTTTGATATATGTTAGGATTTAGAGATGGTCATTTCAATGTTTTAGTAGCCATTGATATTGTTGCTCGTGGTCTTGGGGACAGTTTATAATCTAGATTATGACAAATTATAATTAATATGTACATGAAGCTTAAAAGTTGGGTTTAGTTGAATCCACAAGGCTAGAAATTTTCAGTGATCTGGGAAATGCAACTTCATCTGACACATTAGTCCAAAAAATTGATCTCTAAAAGAATTTGCAACCCTTGTAAGTCATTTTTTCTAAACTAATATTTCTACTTACAATGTTTTTGGTTCTTTCCATGGATTTACATTTATAATTACCACTTTTGATGATGTTTCTTGATTGTTCTCTTGTGATGCTTGTCTAAGGATAGTCAACTCAACAATTATAGTTTGACTAGTCCAATCTTAATACAGCTAACTAACATCATATCTTTGCAAGTTCTGTAAGTATTCTTACCCTACTACGTGTCACTTAATTGCTTTTAAGACCAAATGCTGGAAATAGCAATGTACTTATCTATTTCTTGCAATTAAGCTTCTTTTACTATATATAAGTTGAAGCAAGTTGCTATTTCATGCATTTAGGTCTTTTTTGGTTAAAACGTAAGAAATAGCAGCATACTTTAATTGATTTGACTTGAAAAAAAAACATATTTTACTCTTTTTACTACACAGGTCATTTTATGTCCCCAAGTGCAGGAAATAGTAATGTACTTTGATGTTTCTTGCATTTAAACTTCTTTTACCACAAATAAGTTGAAGTAAGTTGCTATTTCATGTATTTAGGTATTTTTTGGTTAAAATGAAAGAAATAGCAACATACTTTAGTTGATTTGACTTGAAAAAAAAAACACAATTTAATCTGTTTACTACATAAGTCATTTTATGTCCCCGAGTACAGGAAATAACAATGTACTTTGCTATTTGTTGCATTTAAGCTTCTTTTACCACAAATAAGTTGAATTAAGATGTTATTTCATGCATTTAGGTATTTTTTGGTTAAAATGAAAGAAATAGCAGCATACTATAGTTGATTTGCTATATCTTTCATTTAAGCTTCTTTTACTACAAATAAGTTGAAGTAAGTTGTTATTTTGTGCATTTAGATCTTTTTTGGTTAAAATGATAGTAGCATACTTAATTGATTCGACTTGAAAAAAAACATAATTTACTCTTTTTACCACATAAGTCATTTTATATCCCTAAGTGTTGGAAACTTGTTGAAAAAGAGTCAACCCTGGTTGAGTTGATGCATCTTCAAGTGGTGAAGTTGCAAGGCCTAAAGCTGCCATGAAGACTACCAAAGGAGAACTTACTAATGAGTTCCTTTTAATGTTGTGTTTTGTTTTTCTATAATAAATATTTTGTAACATTAACAATTTATTACATTTAGTTACTATTGGAATGATTATTTATGTTTGACATATGATATTTGCAATGAATTATCTTTCCTGTGTATGGTGTTTTATTTTGTATTATGAGACTTTAAATGTGTTATTTAATTTGAAAATTTGTAAATCTATCAAAAATTTATATTTTTCAAAACATTTAAATTATGACATGCAAAAATGTGTGTTGTCTTTCTTTATGACTGGAGCTTTAATGATACACAATTTGTGTCATAAACGTGTGTCATAAATGCATGTCATAAGCTTATGACACACAAATGCGTGTCGTCTTCCTTAATGACAGGGGCTTCAATGACACGCATTTGCATGTCATGTGTACCCTTTTATGACACACATTGCATGTCATGAAAGGCAGTTTTTCTAGTAGTGATATATTCTCATATAAATGAAATGTTACATTTATAGGAAAATATCAGATTTCATGGTATCAAAGTAGTAAGATATTTCTCCCCTCTTAACCCTAGCCATTCCCTAGTTTCATGCCATTTTCATCGATCATCTGTTTGATCGATCATCATCATGTTTAATCATACTCTCACAAAAAAACCCTACTCTATATAGACATCAAGCATGCAGTTCCTATTGTTGTCGATCTTGCTCAGATGAACTATGACATCTGGCATGAGTTACTTGAGATTCACTGCATTGGTTATGGGGTGGCTGACCATCTTGCACCACCATTTATGCATTCATCTTCGTTTGCCAAGAAAGCTCCTAATAACACTCTCCCTATCACGAAAATAGCCACATGGAAACACAACGATTTCATTGTCAAGTCTTGGCTTTATGGTACAATTTCTCTTTCTCTAATTCATCTTATCTTCAAAAAACAAACTCATACCCATGAAGTTTGGGAGACTATTGAAAAATTATTCTGTGATAATAAGAACAACAAGGTGATCCAACTAGATAGTGAGCTCCGCAATATCTCTATTGGTGATTCTTCTTTGGTTGATTATTGCAACCATGTCAAATCTCTATCTGATCTTCTTGAGAACGTGGATGCAAGAGTTTCGAAAATTAATCTTGTCTCTTATATGTTGAATGGGCTATCCATAATATATTGTCACATTGCTACCACTATCCAACATCAATGACATGTCCCATTATTTTAGGATAATCGATCAATGTTGGTACTCGAAGATCAATAACTTGTTCAAGAAGAAAATTGCACCGCTCTATCTCTTATACTAATTACGCATCGTCTCCCATTGTTCTCACTCCAAACTCCACACAACAAAACAAAAATTGTGGTGGATTTTGTGGAGAGCAGGGTGGTCGGAATTATAGGGGTGGTCGTAGCGGAGGAAGGCATGGTGGTCGTCAATCCTATGGAGGGTTGCAACAAGAGCCGTCACACAACAACATACCACCCACAACTTCATCTGGTTAGGCCTTTGGGTGGTATCAGGTCTCTTCTCAGCCGAGCCTTTTTCCTGTTCCTCTATGTGACATCCCCATTTTCATGGCCAGAAAAGACCGATTTGTTTATGCTTTATTTAAAAATCAGAGTATCCTTTTGAAGAAAAGTGTTGCGGAATTTGTTCGCAGAAAACATGATAAATACGTTATCAAAGCATTTCCGAAGAAATGTATTTTTATTCATTTTAAAACATTGGGA